CAGAATTGTAACAACCGGTTATATAAAACCGGTCCGAACCAGTAGAAAAACCACCCCTGCCTGATCAGCCATGCAGACAACAGACAGACACATTTCCAGGACTCACAAAACACTTTTTGACTTTGCAATCCACAGCTGAGAGGCTGCTTACAAAAACGGTTAGGTGGTAGGAGCATGGCATATGCCCCCCCCCCCAGAAGGACAGAATATAACAGCTTCTTCCCCCTCTCCACAATGGCCGAAAGAAACCTTTCCAGGGTCCAATTTTCCTCATCGATATTTTTTATTTAATGCAAATACAAAAGATTCATTCAAAGATATATAACATGATCAAACTGGGATACTTTTTTGGGAGGGAAGAACTTGCTGAGGGGGAACAAGAAGTCTCAAAAAAAAAGAGACCAGATAAAAGAAGTTTGTGTGCAGTCGGACGGGTGTCAGGGCTCAACACTGAAATCTATCGGAGAAATTGGGAGATTGCGGCACGGTCATTGGCTGGTCGCTGGGCTTGATTTCCACGTTGGCGTATTTGCGGATGGGGTTGGCCTTGTGCACCTGGGAAGGAGAAAGAAGGGAAAAGGGGGGTGAGTGTGATGTCACAATGGCAGCCTTGCCTGCTCCGGGTAGAGATGCTTGCTGAAGTCAAAGACAAGAACAAAGACAACACAAGAATAAAGACTTGTTGTGGCCCACCAGCGGTGGCAGATTCGAACAGGGAGGAGGTTGGGGAGGAGCACGGGCCACTCCTGGAGTCTGGGGAAGGCTCTGATGAGGGCTCTGCGTCGGAGGCAGAGATGGGGCCAGGGCCCTCCAACAGTTATCAGCTGCCTTCAGAGTCGGAGATCAGTGGGGAAGAAGAACAGCTGGAGCCTGTTCCCAATGTGCTCATGCACAGAGCTGCCAGACGAATAGAACAGCTAACAAGAGTTGACTTGGGAGTAAAGCCACAGGTGGACGGTGAATGGCCCCTCCCCTAGGGAATAAAAGAGGAGCTAAAGGGGAGTGGGGTTTGCAGGAGACAATTAGTTCAATTCATTAGGGTGAAGATCTGTGCCTGTATTCTTGCCAAGTATTGTCTGCTACAGCGTGACGTTTAGAAGCTGTCGGCCTGGCAACCCTCCAAGCCTGATAAAGGTCTGTGGTTGTAAATCACCCTTGAAAGGCTGTTTGCCAGGACTTTGCTGGACATTGGCCTAAATAAAAGGGGTTTAGCTGGGACAAGGGGTCTGCTTTGTGATTTTGGGAAGCCTACGTCAGAACAGACAAAGGGAAGACCAAGACCAAGACACAAACAAAGACAAAACAAGAATAAAGACAAAGATTAAGGACAAGATAAAGACCAAGACAAAAACAGGACAACCTTTACTGTCACTTTTTTTTAACTGTGAAATGAAATCAAAATGAAATTTTGAAGACGCAGTGTCAACCCTGGATTGTACGCTGATTGGAGACTCCGGATTGGGGGGGGGGGCGACAAAAGTTTTACTTTTAATTGGGTGTAAAACCGGCGGGAACCAAGAGCCGGTTTTCCACCCGGAACATTGCCAATTTGATATGTCCCAATAAAATGTTCTTTGAGGGATTTGCCTGCCTCGGAGTTCATATTGAATGGGATGTATTACTGGGATGTATTACTTATATAACACAGTTCAAAGCAGCGTATTTCAGCCGTGGCCAATTTAAGAGGGGTGGACTTCAATGCCCAGAATTCCCCAGCTAGCACGCTGCAAATCAGCGGTTCCCCAACATTTCAGGCACCTGTTGTGGTCGGCTGGCGGCCTGCAGAGAAGGCAGCAGAGTTGGACAGTGTGGGGAGGAACAGGGGCCAGTCCTGGAGCCTGGGGAGGGCTCAGATGAGGGATCTGCGCCCGACACAGAGATGGGGCCAGGGCCACCTGGGAGTTACGTGCCGACTTTAGAATCGGACAGCAGTGAGGCGGAGGAACAGCGGGAGCCTGTTCTCAGTGCGCATGTGCGCAGAGCTGCCAGAAGGCAAGAACAGTTAAGACAAAAGGGTTTGAGAGTAAGGCTTGGAGATGATTGGCCCCTCCTGTAAGACATCAAGGAGGAGCCAAGGGACATAAGCCTTTGCAGGAAGCAACTTTGTTCGTTCTGGTCGGTTTAAACTCTGAAGCTCTGTGTGGACTTTGTGCTGCATTTGGCCTCGTACAGCTAATGGGCAATTTAGTCCTTGGAAGCATTTCCGGGGAGATAAAGGTGGGTGCTTATCAGCCTTATCCCGAAGGATTGTGGCAGAACTCCCGTTGGACTATTCACAAACTCTGTGCGACTCCTTACGGGCTGTGAATGCATATAATTCACAGCCGTTGAAATAAAACCACAAGGGCTTTGGGAACAGCGTGTGATGGTTACTGCCTCAGGAAGCCTTGGTCAGAACAGCACCAGGGACCATTTTCGGAAGAAAACTGGTCTTCCAAAGACCAGGGGCAGGAGAGGAGAGAATGGTCTTGTTCGCCACCAAGATTCTGCGCATGCATAGATGAAGCATCAGTCACTGGTGCCTGTTGCTTGCGCAGCCCAGATCTTAAGAGGTTACAACCGGTACTGGTCCAGAACCTGAGGGTTGTGGACCCCTGCCATTAATGCTGCATCTGTGCAAATACAGGAAGTCCTCGACTTCCAACAGTTCATTTAATGACCATTTCCAAGTTACAACGGCACCGAAAAAACGTGACTGAAGACCATTTTTCATACTTAATGACTGTTGCAGCACCTCCATGATCAGGCGGATCAAGATTCAGCCGCTTGGTCAACAGACTCGTATTTGGGAGGATCGCGTGATCCCCTTTTGGGACCTTCCGATGAGCAGAGTCGATGTGAGAGGCCAGATTCGCTTAATGTTCTGACCAAGGCTTCCGAAACCGTAATTACGCACACGCTTCTTTTAAAAACAAGTCATTTATTGCAACGCTGGGAATTGTTTGTTTTCCCAGCTGGTAATGAACCTCAAACAGTTCTTTGAGATAAGCACCCACCTTTCTTTCCTGTGAAGTGCTGCCAATAACAGGAGTGTCCAATGAAGTAGGAAAAAACAACAACAACCAACCAGAGTACAAAGAGCTTCAAGAATGACTCTGAACCGAACGAACGACTTTGCTTCCTGCAAGGTTTCGTCCTCTTGGACTGACTTTTGTCCCTTATGGGAGGGGCAATCACCTCCCAGCCTTACTCCTAAGTCGCCCCTTTTTGTCTCAATTGCTCTTGCCTTCTAGCAGCTCTGTGCACTGGGAACAGGCTCCCCTTTTTCCTCTTCCTTGCTGCTGCCAGACTCCAAAGGCTCCTGGACTGGTCCCCGTTCTTTCCCCCTGTCCAATTCCGCTGCTGTCTGCACCGGCTGCCGACGAACCCCAACACTTAACAACCCCAGGAGACCATCATTTCTATGACTAAGCAAGACAAATTGTTCAATGAGCTTTTTACGACCTTTCTGGCTGCAGTCCTTAAATGAGACAGTCGTTAAGGGAATCCTGCTTTCCCCCATTGACTTTTGCTCATCAGGTGGTCGCAAAAAGGGACGCTGCAACCATCATAAATATGAGCCACTTGCCCCAAGCATCTGAGGTTCGATCGTGTGACCCTGGAGAGGCTTGCCTCGTTCGTAAGCGCGAAACACGGTTTCTAAGTCTCTTTTGTTAAGTGCCGCTGTAACTTTGGTCGCTAAATGGACCGTTGTAAATTGAGGACTTCCCTTACAAAGCAGAGGTGTCCTTACCAGCTCTTCCTGCAGCTTGGCCCTCTCCTCTTTGGCTCGTTCCTCCTCCATCCTCCGGGTGGCCTCCTGAAGCCGGGCCTTCTCCGCCTCCAGCTCGGCCAGCCGAATCTCGAACTCCAGGCGCTCCTTGGCCCATAGTTTGGTGGCCAGCACGAAGGGATCGGGGGCTGCAGAAGCAGAAAGGAGAAGCGCTGGGTTGAGAAATGCTCCCATTTCCTTTTTTCTGCTTTGGGGGCTGGGGGGTAGGGAGGGGGGCAGTAGAGATAGCTGGGAAGGGTGCTGGAGCCCAACTAAAGAGCGCTTTCCCTTGGGAACCAAGGACATTCTAGCAGGTGTTGTGTTTTTTTTTTTTTAACAGATTAACAGAATGGGAAGGGACCTTGTAGGTCATCTAGTCCAACCCTCCCCCACCCAAGCAGGAGACCGTTCACCATTTCTGATCAGTAGCAGTCCAGTCTCTTTTGAAAACCTTCCTGAAGGCAACTTCTGTTCCATGGGTTGAGGGTTCTCACTGCCAGAAAATTCCTCCTCATTTCCAGGTTGAATCTCTCCTTGTTCCGTTTCCATCCATTGTTCCTTGTCTGGCCTTTGGGTGTCTTGGAAAATAGCTTGACCCCCTTCCTCCACCTCTCTGGGGCAGCCTCTCCCTCAAATACTCGAAGGCTGCTCTCCTGTCTCCCCTGGTCCTTCTCTTCCCTAGACTAGCCAGGCCCAGTTCCTGCAACCGTTCCTCGTACGTTCTAGCCTCCAGTCCCCTCATCCTCCTGGTTGCTCTTCTCTGCACTTTTTCTAGAGTCTCAACCTCTTTTTTATTGTCTGGCGACCAAAACTGCATGTAGTAGTCTAGGTGTGGCCTTACTAAGGCTTTACGGAGTGGTATTAGGACCTCCCTTGATCTCGATTGTATCCCTCTGTTAATGCAACTTAGGGTTGCATTGGCTTTTTTGGCTGCCTCTGCATACTGCTGGCTCCTATTTCACTAAGTCTCCATGATCCCTCTCACAGTTACTGCTCGATAATGATTACAGATAATCAGAGTTGGAAGGGACCTTGTAGGTCATCTAGTCCAACCCCCCGCCCCCCCAAGCAAGAGACCCTACACCATTTCTGACAAATGGCAGTCCAATCTTTTCTGGAAAGCCTGGTTAAGCCTGGTTTCACCCAGCCTTATATGCATTCGGTTGTGTGTGGCCTTACTAAGGCTTTATAGAGTGGTATTAATACCTCCCTTGATCTTGATTGTATCCCTCTGTTAATGCAATTTAGGATTGCATTGGTGTTGAGGAGGAGGAGACAGGTCACCTAGCAACTGGACTGTAGGCTGATTGGACCAGGTGACTGATTGGTTTGGGAATGTGTCAAACTTCCATTCTTAATCAGGTGAAACCATGAGAACTTTTAGTTAGTATTCTATTCTATTCTATTCTATTCTATTCTATTCTATTCTATTCTATTCTATTCTATTCTATTC